AAGTCAAAGAAAAGGGTTTGGTCTCAGGCTTAGGGTTGGTCGTGCCTATCTCTTCCTTCTTTGGATATGTTGGCTTCCAGGGAGTTTGTTCCATATATCGGCTCGGTTGTGTACCCCTCCTCTTTGGTTGCTTCTCAATTTTTATGGCCATGTGTACCATATCCTCCAACTCCACATAATGTTGCAACTCCACTTGATTGGCAATTTCTTGATTTAGCCCTGCCAAAAATCGTGCCATAGTAGCTTTTCTGTCCTCCTTGACATTCGCTAGAATCATTGCTACTTCCATCTCTTGATAATAATCTTCTACACTTTGATTGCCTTATGTGAGTCTTTGCGACTTCTTGTATAAATCCCAGTAATAGTGACTAGGTACAAAACGTCTCCTCATTATTGTTTTCATCTCCTCCCAAGTGTCCACCAGTCTTTCTCTATTCCGTCTTCTGTTCATTAATAATTGATCCCACCAAACAATAGCACAGTCAGAAAACTCAATGGCTGCAAGTTTTACCTTCTTCATCTCGGTGTAATTGTGGCAATCAAAAACGAGCTCCATCTTCTTTTCCCACTCTAAATAAACCTAGGGATGTTCTTTCCTTGAAACGAAGGAACCTTCATTTTAATGCTGCCCAAGTTATTATCCTCCCGATTCCTATCTCTTCTAACTCGTCTAAACCTCCTAATGCTGCCCACCGAATGTCTGTCGTCCTCATCCTCAAAACCGCCCTCGTTGAACTCCTCAAAATCCTCCACTACATGCCTGGGTTGAGCCCTTTCCATCCCATGCACGTTGGGAGCCATTTGTGGTAGCCCCCGTCTGGCATTTTCCACTCTATCCAGTTGTTCATTAATTTGCTCTAATTTCATCCTCATCATCTGCCTCATCTCTCCCACAATTGCTTCCATGTATAGCTTTGGATTCGCCACTCCCGAACCACCTTCAATAATGTCTTTGTTTCTTTCATGAGACATGATTTCTGCGAGAACAAAGTTAAGAAAAAAAAAACCTCACAGCACTCCCTCACGTGTTTCACTCAAATTATGTTTTCACTCGACACTCGTGTTTCACTCAATTTTGGCTTTTACCCTCAAATAATCTCACCACTCTTGCTTTTTTTCACTCGTGGTAATTATCTTTTGGTTCTTATCAAACTAATCAAACAAGAACAAGAATTTCCAGCAAGCAATTCATTCATAACTTACCAAGGAGTTTTTTTTTTTTAAGATCACCGAATGTGTCACAAAGTTCTAACAAAAATTTACAAAGAAGAACAAAAATTCCAGTGCTCACTCAGAATCTATGATTCTATATTTTTTTGACGTTTTATTTTTTGCAATTTTTTCCTCTTTTTTTTTTGCAGATTCAAGAACTGAAATTAAAGATACAGTAAAAATAAATAAATAAATTCTACCAAAACAAAAAGTGACTGGAAAACTAGACTGGATTCAAAGGGGATAGGCAAACCTGAGGCTAGAAACTAGCTCTGATACCAAATGATACGAACCCCATCAAGAATAACAAGACCCGAACACAATCAGGAACCCAAGACCGTTCTACGATCAGATTTGAATGGAACCTCGACCCGTTATTTTCTTCGAAACAAGAACCTCGGTATAACGAAGACGCTATAAACAGTGATGGAAATCCATTTGATAAATCATTGCTGAACGCCACTAGAATAATTTTTGAGGAGTTCAAATAGTTCTTCAAAGAACCAAAGGGAAAATACTCTCACAATTTTCTGAATAATGATCTGCTCTTTCCATTACTTAGACGCCTATTAAAAGGCCAACCATTACAAAGAAAGTTCCTAAAATAGCCAACTTAATTAAGGCTTAAAACCTAGTAAGAAGAAAAACTCTTACTTGTCTAAAAAAGAAAAAGACACAATAGCACCTTAATTTGCTGATCACACGCCTAAAATAGAAAAGGAAGGTTGGAGTTTTAAATGGCTTTGTTATCAGCCATACACGCCCATAAAAGTCAAAAGGCCTAAACAAATATAAGGAAAAGTAAATATCTTGGCATGCAAGCCTTACAATCGGATGAGAATATTCCTAAACATGCCTATTTAACTTGCTGAATTTAAGCTTAATCTTGGCCGGATTCTTCTAGAACTTGAATCATGTTGATGCATCTTTGTTGAACAAGTGGATCATGCTCAATGGGTCTCCATGAATTTGCTTGAGTCCAAACCTCTTGAATCAGCCCGTTGAGTACATCTTTAAACTTCTTTGCTCGTGCTCTCGTAACCGGCCCAATTAGAACTTGAACTGGATCCCTTGAAGTTGTGCTATGTTTTGCATGAATATGACCATTAGATTGCTAATTGTCTATGATATTTGACTTTAAAGTTTGTTAAGTTAATGGGTTTCTTGAGGTTTGTATTGATTTTTTTAAAGTATGATAAAATAAATGATATAAACGCATTTAGATTTAGAAATGCTATATATGTATAAAGCATACATATATAGCATTACATGTTTTATGTCGAGCACTTCTATCTAGGTGAAATATTTAGAAAAAAATTAACAAAATTCATTACATTATACAAATTTTGCTCCTCATTTTTTCTCTCTTTATTGCCTCTTCAACTAATGTTTTGAGAATGGGTGCTCAACTAATATTTTTAGAGGAGAAGGTATTCAACAAACCTCAAATATCATAGATAATTAGTAATTTAATGGTCATATCAACATTTCCGTTCAAAAAATGATAAAATCAAGATGGAGTGGAAAAAGTTAGAAACATATCATAGTTCATGGGCAAAATAGGTACATTTTAAAGTTCATGTGCCATATTGACACAAGTAACAAAGTTCAAGGGGCATTTATAAGCATTTCTGTTACAAAACTTAATGGAGTTAACCGCACAAGGCATGTTGACACAAGTGACAAAGTTCAAGGAGAATTTATAAAATTTGTCCTTAAAATAATAAGAATTATATATGGTAAAATTAAGTAGGGACATATCTAGAAAATTATATTTCAATGAGAACACTTTGAAAAAAGAACCATTTAAAAGAAGTACATCAAAAAAGGTTGACAAAACAAAAGTAAAAAATAAAAGAAAGGTTATTGGCACAAATGGTTTCCAATCTATTTAGCAAGTGATATTTTGGTCTCCAACTTTTTTTTTGGCAAATCGACCCCCAACCTTTTAAAACAGGTGCAATATGGTCTTTTCCGTCAAGATCTGTCCAAAAGCTAATGGCCCAATACACGTGACCACCCACGTGACCCAGATTATTGGTGGAAAGACAAAATTGCCCCTTTGAACTCTTCTTTTATTCTTAAAAGTATATAAAATCCCAAAAAAGAACCACAATGAAAAGATATAGGCCGTGTTTAGAATTGATCCCGTTTTTATTTTTCACGTTTTTCAAGAAAGAAAAAATGAAAACGTTTCTAAAACGGTATTTGGTGCAATAAAGATAAAAAACAAAAATGAAAATGATTTTTTGGTTTAGTGTAAAATGAGAGAGAAATGAAAAACGACTTTTAGTCATTTTTCATTTTTTATTTTCGTTTTCTCTTCTCTCGAGCAGAGAGAGAGAGAGAGAGAGAGAGAGATTAATGGGTTTTTTTATACTGAAAATAATCTCTTGATAAAACTACCAAACGTATTTTTAAAAATGATTTCTGTCTGAGATTGAAAACGTTTTTATTTTCATTTTCATATAAAAAATAAAATCATTTTTGAACGAATTCCAAATGCGCCTATAAAATTTTAGGGCAAGAAGCAACAAAAAAATTTAAAAAGCACCAAAATGATCAAATAAATGAGTTTTATAGCATAAGGAACCCAAAAAGGAACCAACAAACAAAAGAGTTTTAAAGCAAGACACAACAAAAGGGGTAAAAGGAGACTAAAAGGAAAAAAAAAAATGTTTTATTGTAAAAGGAGCCCAAAAAAGAACCAAAATGAAAAAATAAATAAATGAGGTAAGAAGCATAAATAAAGGGTCAAAATGACGAAAATGAATAAATAAATAAATTTTATAGCAAAAGGAATTAAAATAAAAAAAAGTTTTATGACAAAAGGAAAAAAAGACAAAAAGAAGACTGAAATGAATGAATAAATAAATTCTATGGCAACAATCTGACAAAAAAAAAAAAAAAGAGGGAGGTTTTAAACATGTGTAAGATTTTAAGAGAATAAGAAGCGCAAAAAAAAAAAAAATGGTAGTAAAGAGGAAAAAAAAAAGGGGTTGAAGAAGGTGGAGATATCAACCAAAACGATCACATATACATACATGAGTTTGATAACGCTTTTATATGTGGTTGTCTCTAAATATATATATATATATATATATATATTTAAAGTACAATTTCTCATTTCTAAAATATATTATAGATGATAGATTTCTGATATAAATTATAAATTATAGATAGATTAAGCATGACGTCACATGATAGGTTAATATAATAGCCACATATTTATAAAATCGTTATAAATATAATGCAAGACCACCCTATTTGCAATACCATTAAATTGCTCATATATTTTGCCTTGTAAATGATTCCTTTTATGGGTGCTCATTTTTTTTAATAATAATAAAGAGATTTATGCGATAGAACATTGAAAAATACCTACTGACATATATCTAATTTTTAACTATTTTTGTATATAAATTATTTAGAAGACGTTTAATTCATGGATTTAAAACTATGATTCAGAACTATTATCGGTTTACGTATATTTTTTATGAGAAAAAATACTGTAATGAACTACAAACTATGATCTGAACCATAACACAAATCCTTACTTTAAACGCACCATTAATCTACGTACACAAGTACTTTTTTACGTTAACGAGATTTTGACCAAATCCTAAGAAGTGTGCACTGTCCATATTAGGTCGTACCATGGGGGCTCTAATCACTTATTATTATTTTATTTTTCCATCCTGAAGCATTGTCATGTTCATTTGATCGTTGAAACGTAAGTCCACTACTAGCTTCAAACTCTGCCAAAGTAAGAGAGAGAGAGAGAGAGAGAGAGCCTTGATACAATTACAAGAAATGCAAATTACAGAATTGACTTTTCCATATCCACAGTCCACTACACAACATTAGAGATGATCATCTAGAAACCATTAAGACAAATACAACAAAGAGAACCAATTGAGTTTTTCAAAGTGAAACTAAAAATGACTTGCCTAAAAACAATAACTCAAACAAGTAAAAGTGTACAAGGTTAAGGAGCAATAAACAAAGGGGAAGAAAATAAAATTACACCTTTACTCATTCTTAGAGGAGGTTTTCTTATTCTTTCCATGCCTCTCTTTCAACTTTTCAACTTTCCCTTGCCATTGATGCTGGTTGCTAACCGATCCCTCTTGAGCACTGCACATCTGAGACTTTAACTTGAACCCAAATTTCTTAGATACACTGCCCCATGCGCTAGACGAGGAAGTACCCTTCACCCGTCCTAACTTCTCGATCTCTTGCCTCATGTTCGAGCATTCCTTCTCAAGCTCAGACACCCGCATTCGCATGTTATCCATCCCGACCTTCAAGACCTGATTCTCCCTCACTGCTGAGGCCCAGCCTCCCTCATTGGATCCGGCAAATCCACTTCTCAACTGTCTTGATCCATCCAGATTGTCCGAAACCAGAAAGCAGCCAGCAATGGAAGTCCTGAGCTGAAGCTGCTCAAAGAAGAGAACTTGAACGACTATTCTGAGGGGTAGCCTCTCATTCTGTGCCGCATGGGTGCATGCTTCTACAGAGAGCTTCTGACAGTCCATTAACCTGCAAAGTTGTTCTCTGTCCGACTCCGCCAACCATGGGTGTGACTGCAGATTTGTAAATGACAAGTGAATTAATGAGCTAAAAAAATTACAATCGATGTCTGTCCAGATTGAGGTTACATGATTTCTCCACGAAGAAAGGTGACGAAATGCAAACTATCAAGCTCGGTATAGGCTAGCCAGTTAGCTTTCCAAACAAAAAACAAAAACACAAAATAAATTTCGATTTGGTTGGTTTCACCAGTTGGTCTTAAGCCGGTATACACGAGTTTCCAACTGTTTGAAGAAAAAAGAAAATCTGGCAAACTGCCATTCTAGGACAATCTTCAACTAAAATTATGTGGCATATAATCAAATGCAATCTCATTCTACTGTTAAAACAACAGCACAGCCGAAATCAGAAACATGACATGAGCAAGGTTGAGCACATTTACACTGGTAGAAAAGGGTTTGTTCTTCGGAAAGAGGACACGACTTCAGCTCAACGATTTTAGACGCCAAAGTGAATATGATAAATTGATGAAAAACAGACAAGGTTCAATCTTCTTTTACATGTGATGCACAGGATTTTCATATATGACTGAGATGGTTATTACCTTCAGAAATATATCTATAGCACGATAAAGACCATCATCCAAAGGTCTAGCATACTCTGGAACAGCGGCAGCAAGCTCCTGAAATTTGGGAGGCTTCAGATTAACGTCAGGAGCAACCTCCGCAAGGTACCCATCAATGAGCTTGGCAACCATTGTGATTGGTGTCAGTGAAGGCGACCCGATCAGCTGGCCATCATCAATTGAACATGGAGAGGCGCCACCCGTGACCTGATCCATGGCAAGGAAATGCCCCAAAATCCGTTGCACGCAGTCAACATTATAAAGCGTTTCCATGGTATTAGAGAAATTGGGCATCAAGAGATCTTCTAGAGTGGCTTGATCGAGCTGCATTCCAATCCTTTTCTCCAGATTTGATATGCAAGAAGGATTTGCTCGAAGAATCATAGCTGTTCGAAGAAGACCAAACAGGAACTTGGTCGGGACTAGACCCTTCTGCACAGGAAGTAACCTATCAAATTCTTCAAGTAAGGCCTTCTGCTCTTCTTCTGATGGTGGTGTCCCCAAAGACACAGGCCCAAGACGGCTACTAGACTCGCTGCTTGCCTGACGGCGATTGAGACCAGGAAGATACTTCTTTGCATAAAAAGTGATGGATCCTGCAATAATTTCCTGTTTGATGCCGCGAGTTTCCATGACGGAAATCAACCTCTTATACAGAGGAAAGCTTAAGGTTGATACATCTTCATACCACCAATCTAAACTTGAATTCTTCGGTCTAGCCCCAGTACTGATGCCATTCCACAAGAGACTCCCGCCAGGGCTCTGCATGGGCCCCCCATGTTCCCTCATGGGCCACCCAAATAGGTTCGGGTCAGTGGACGCTTTTGTGGCTAGTGACTCAATGCACCATTTTGTAACGTTGAGATCTTCAGCATAAGGGAGAATGTCGTCGCAGGTTTGTAGTGCCTTCAGAGAGTCTTTCCAATTCCGAAGGACTACTTGATTGATGAACGCTTCTGTCTGTGCAATTAAATTACCCTCTCCATAGTCCTCAGCCATTTCAAGACTCTCAGCAGCACATCGCAGGTATACAACATTTGACGCAGCGAGTTCGAGTTTCACACCGTAACAAAACTTGGCTACCAATTCGAAAGTTTTGGCCCCGCCAGGAATGTCTGGGAGCTTCACGACACATCCTTCTTCTGCTTCTTCAGATGCTTCCGCAATCAATTTTTCCATCACTCCGCTCCTAGAGAGCAAAGGGAACTGCATCCAATGACAACTCAATGATGTAAGTAACTTGAACAATATTCCGATCTCCAGAAATGTTAAGCTAACGGGATTTTCAATAACCAAAAACAAAACAAAAAAAGGTCAAATACTATTCTCCAGAAAGAAAGAGAAATAAGCCAATACAATAAAATGAGCAAACTTCAGTATGAATATACCAACTGAAACAGAAGAAAAAAAAAAACAAAAAACAAAATTACCTTGTGAAGATGGAATGACATTTCTCCAACTTCAACGACAATATCACTAGGAAGGCCGGTGGTGCAGAACCTGCGGTGGATGAATGTAAATACGAGGTCACATCATCAATAAAGCGCTATAATTGCAAGTGCTTCAGTGAATTTGCAGTCAAGTAAAGGAGATTGATGCAAATAATGCAATTCCTCATTTCAAAAAATAATTCATTACTAAAACGCAAGCCATTTCAAAAAATATGCATACCAATATACTGAATTACAAATCTAAAATGTACCCCACCCAAAAGCAAGAAAAGAAAAATGTAGTTTGACCAGCTAATAACCAGTTCTTCCATCATTTCCAATTACAGGCTGGGTACGACATTCTTCCTCGTTACAAAAACAATCAATCCATTTCGTTTTGGTTTAAACTAAAAGTGATTATAACATTGACAAAAACGTTGGTTAAGCTCATACTTGAGCAGAAAATGAATCAATTTTCATCGTTCAAAATGGTAGAAACTTTTCTTTTTAAAAAAAAAAAAATTATGTTGTGTCGCTAGATTCTCTTGCCTGCCGAGACAGACGAAACCCTTTGAATTTGACCCGAAGGAACAACAAGAAAACAAAAACATCAGAGCATTTCACAGCAAATACAGAATATGCAGAAGATTATAACATATACATATATGAGATAAGTTATACATACCAGGCCTGTCCTTGCCTTTGGAACGCATCACTTTTCGACCCCAATTTCACGCAAGCCATTTTCCTCACAAAAACAAGCTCTCAACTTCAAATCACTGTCTCCAAGTAAATTCCCAGTCTAGAGAAGCCTCACAGGCAAACTAAAGTGAACCCAGAAAATCTTTTCCCTCAAACGCCTCTTTGGAACAAGAATATGCAAGAAAATGCTCAAAATCGAACAAAAACTTGAACAGAAGCGCAATGTAGCTCTTCTTCTGATCTGATTACCCAAAAAAAAACACCACTGAATTTGTTCCTAAATCTACAACTAGATATAACAGGAGAAAAAACAAGTTAAATCTTGTTGAATCTGTTAAGAACAAAAATAACACTAAAACCACTCCATAAACTCCTACCCCACAGACCCAAATCTGCAAATCTCAAACCAGAAAAATTCCCTAATCAAGACAACAAAGCAAATTTAGGTCAACCCCTCCAATTTCCCTGACCCAGAAAACAAAAATCACAACTGTTTGCTACTAATAAAACACTTTTCTTTTCTCTACGCACAAAAACTCAAAACCCACCAAGAAAAAAGATTCCAAAAATTCAACAGTGAACGAGCCACAAAGGACCAAAACCACTCATGCCCATCTGAGGAAAAAGTACGAACATGGTCACTGTGCCGTCATAATAATGTCCCCTAAAAGGGCCATTTACAAAAAAAAAAAAAAAATATATATATATATATATTGTTATTATTCACTCTTTGCATGTGGGGTTCTTGGCTTGAAACGCCCTCAATACTTTTTCTAGAACTGAGTTTCGGAGAATCTCTATTCACTACTCTATTATCTAATCTAATCTTATAATGAAACAGTTCTCTGCAATTTGACCCCGCAAAAACAAAAGAGATAATCTTTTGTATTTATTAAGGAGAATAATCTCTTCTTCTTTTTTTTTGCTCTCTTTTTCTTTTTTAAAGCTTAATGACAAGGTTTGAAGCCACACATAAATTTGGTTCGTTGTACAGCTAGGCCATATGGTTACGTACTAGGGTCCCCTACAATATAATTAGTATAGTATTTTGTTGTAAAATAATTTAACACCGGTTTATTTTATATACTCAATCTCAAATTATTAATTCTATTATAATATTTTTTTCATAAAAAAATTAAATTTTAAACGTCAAAATTAAACATCATAGTTTAAATATATTTTCTAAATGTGTCCTTAGTAATAAAACTTAAAATTTTTCAGTCATTGTCAAATTAAATATCAATATTGAGAGTAAATAATAATAATAATAAATATCAGTCTAATTAGTAATTTAAACATTTAAAATGGTGTCTAACCAACCACGTTATGTAACATCATATAAAGAAGAGAGATAAATGAAATATCATATATGATAGGGTGATTTATAAATTATAGTATAATTTTTTAAAACATGTAGTTTAATTATTTAAAGCATAATTTAATATCTTAGACATCCAACAATATTAAAAACTCAAAAATACTCCTTAATCCTCTCTCTCCTTTCCCCTCTAGTTAGGTCCACATGGTGTACACTGGTGACGGCTCCTGGTGACCAGCAGTCGGTGACGACTACCGGTGCCGACAACTGGTAATACCATATTTACTAGTAAACACTACATGTACTAATAAATATCGTATTTACTCATAAATACTATATTTATTCAAAAATCTGACCACCAGTACTAACGACCTGTAAATACCGTATTTACCAGTAAATAACGTATGAACTCGCAATTACCATATTTATCCAAAAATTTGGCCACTAGCTCTGGCGACCGTTAAATACTATATTTATCCTTAGATAATTACATGTAAATACCATATTTATCTAAAAATCTAGACCGGTAAATATCGTATTTACTGCTAAATATCGTTTTTACTCATAAAGACAGTATTAAAGTCACCGATATTGGGGGTGCTAGTTCTGGAGATTGCGACGACAGAGAGAGAGTGTGTGTGTATGAGTGAGTGAGAGAGTGCGGATGAGAGAAGCGCGAAGATAGGGGCAGATGAGAGAGTTTGGGAGAAAGGAAAAAAATAAAATCCTAAAAGAAAGGGTAAAGTTGGAAAGAAATTATTTCGGATTGAAAATTCAAAATATGCTATAATTTACTACAATTTAAAAAAAAATGTACTATTTACTTCAAACATAAGTATGAAATATACTATATGGTACATTTTCTATTTAAAAAAATTAAAATGTTTTTTTTTTCATATTTTAATGTTTAAGTTCATTAAGTGATGTAACATAATATAAGTGATTGACACTATTTAGGAGACTAGAAGTTACCAAGTGGACGTTTGGTTGATGGATTTAGAATCATGATTCAAAATTATTCTCGATTTACGTGTGTATTTTTTGTGAGAGAAAATATTATAGCGAACCACGAACCATGATCTGAACCGTGGCACGAATCAACCAACCAAACGCAAATCCCTTTAATTATAAGACCTTTTTCTTTAGTTCGTCCATGGTAGAGTCTCACGCAAGTAGTCCACTTTTTTAATTTGTTCAAAATCACATCAAAATAAAAAAAGTGTATAAAATTTATAATTTTTAATACATATTTGATAATTTAAGAATAGAGACCCACCTCATTGTTATATTTTCAGGTCCTCCTATCATAACCTTTTTTTTTTTTGGCTGCTTCATAAGACCCCTTTCTTTCAATGTGATCGACTCATTTACCAGACAAAAATTAATGCATACATAAATAATTGAGATTATAAATTGTTTGGTTTTAAATAACGGGTGAATTCATTGTGCCTGGGCGGCCTTCCGAGTGTGGGGACCAAACAATCTGTATTGATGGAGATATATATGTGATGGGCCTCTAGGATGGGTAAGCCGAGAATTGAGATTTTGGGGGCGAGGAAAGGGAAATTTTGAGAATTTTCAACGACCTTTTACATGCATTAACAGTTAATGGTTTTGATATTTCCTTAATTATCTATTTTTTTAACATCTGTTTTTATTTTTTTTTTCTTTCCACAAATAAGATTTTAATAGAGAAAATAATTTGTTCCCCACAAATTTTAATAGAGTATGTTAACAAATGAAATGTATTCCCACCGGAGTGAATAGCATGTTTTCCATTACTACATGAAGATGAGATCCTTGCGAGTTTGTCAGATAGGATCATTTTTTAACTGCTGGACAGTTTTTAATACAAATGATACAAATCTAACAGCTCAATGGTCTTTTTGATGGTTTATTTTTTTTAAACACTATTAGAAAAACTCCTAAGATTCTTTTTTATTTGTACGTTTTTCCACAAATTTTAAGGTATGGGTGTGCAAATCAAGCCAACCAAGCAAACCGTTTATTTTAAGTGAAATGTAAACCAAATCAATTACAAATTGATTTAGAGATTTTTAAACTAAACCAAACTAATTAAAGGATCTAATCCAATCCAAACCAAACCATTCGTTTTTCTAATTGGTTTGAACTAATACTTTACAACATCTTCTCAAGTCTCAATCATAACTAGTACTAATATTTTGTGTGCTCTTTTGTCTCTTTCTTTGTTTTTTCTAAAGATAAAATGAAGTTAAAGTAATTAAATTATAGCACATGGAGTCCAACTAGTGTTCTTAGAAAATCCTCAAAAATTTAGAAGGGAAGTTATAAGAAATAAGCCTACATTTAAAACTTATGAAAGTAAATAGCCAATTCAATAATGTATAGAAATTAATAGACCATTTCATATTTTTTTATTTTTTTCTACCCTTTTCTTGCTAGTTTTCCCTATCCTTTGGTAAATCCATATATATCCAGGATTTACCATGTTAGAATTACTTGAAAAAGAATATTACAAATTCTAATGGTAAATCTCAGATATACCTGGTAAATCTAAGATTTACCAAGTTTATATTACTAGGAAAAAATGTACAAATTCTAATGGTAAATTTAGGATTTATCAAGTTTATATTAGTACGGGAAAAGTGAAAAATCTAACGGTAAATTCCGGATATACCGAGTAAATCTTAAATTTACCAAGTTCGTATTAGTAGAGGAGTAAATGCCGGATTTACATGATTTACCAAGTTCGTATTAGTAGGAAAAATAAAAAAATATAATAGTAAATCAAGAATAAACCTGGTAATTTCTGAATTTACCGAGTTTGTATTTACGAGGAAAAAAGAAAAAAAATCTAATGGTAAATCTCAGATGTACCTGGTAAATCTCGAATTTACCAAGTTTGTATTAGTAGGAAAAAGTGAAAAATCTAATGGTAAATTCAGAATTTACCATGTTCGTATTACTAAAGAAAAAGTGAAAAATATAATGGTAAATCTTGGATATCCCAAGTAAATCTAGGATTTACCAAGTTCATTTCAATAGGGAAAATGAAAACAACAAATTTTAATGGTAAATCCTGAATATATTTGGTAAATCTCGAATTTACGAGATTTACCAAGTTCGTATTAGTATGAAAAAAAGTGAAAAATCTAATGGTAAATCCTGGATTTACCAAGTTCGTATTACTAGGGAAAAAGAATACTACAAATTCTAATGGTAAATTTGAGATATACCTAGTAAATCCCGGATTTACCAAGTTCATATTAGTAGGGAAAAAGTGAAAAATCTAATAGTAAATATTGGATATAAACGGTGAATCCAAGATTTACCAATAGGGTATTTTTATAATTTCAGCTGGTTGTAAATCCAGATTTACATCACATTGGCCTATTTATTAACTTTTAGTGCAAATTATAATGGTAAATCCTATTAAATCTAGGATATACTAAGTTCGTATTAATATAGAAAAAGTGAAAAATCGAATGGTAAATTCCGGATATACTTGGTAAATCTCGGATTTACCAAGTTCGTATTAGTAAGAGAAAATGACACTCCAAATTCTAATGGTAAATCCTGGATATTCGTATTAGTACGGAAAAAGTGAAAAATCTAATGGTAAATCCCAGATATACCTAGAAAATCTCAGATTTATCAAGTTCGTATTAGTAGGGAAAAAGACCACTAAATTCTCATGATAAATCCTGAATGTATTACCAAGTTCATGTTAGTAGGAAAAAAAAAGTAAAAATTTAATGGTAAATTCCATATATAAACAGTAAATCTAAGATTTACTAAGAGGGTATTTTTAAAATTTCAATTAGTTGTAAATCCATATTTACATCACATTGGCTTATATATTAACTTTTCTTATATATTGACTTATTAATTATAATTCCTCTCAAATCTTGACTTATTTCTCTCAATCTCCCAGTTTAGAAATGTCTTGTTCATTTGTATTTTTTACGTTAGGGTGATTTGAGTTCAGATCTTGATTTGAGTTAAGGTGTCTTTGAGTATGGTTTGAGTTGAGACTCTAATTTGAGTTTGTGTTTAGATATGCACATTTTGAGTTATAGTTTGAATTGAGAATCTATTTGAGTTTGTGTTTGGGTGGGTCAAAACTTGAATTTGTATTTAGGTAGTATTTTAATAAAAGCTCAATGGTGATGGAAAATTTTAATAGGCTATATGAGTGAGGTTTTATTCATCTCTTCGTTGTGAACGCATAGAAAAAAAATCATTTCAATCGAAATTAAAATGAAAAAATTATAACGTTTTTAATAATAGAATAAATATTGTTCATTACTTGAGTTTTAGTTTAAAAACTTGAGTTGAAGGGGAAATTTGAACTCAGATTTTAGTCTCAAACTCAAGTTAAAACTCAATTTCAAACTGAAATTTTATAAAAGAACATAAACTTAAATAAAGTTGTAATTTAAGTTCAAATTTTTTTTGAATTTAAATGCAAAATAGTACTAATCTCACTAGCTATGCGAATGTGTTTTGTCATGGAACGTGTCAAACGATTAAAATAAAAA